AACCGAGGTACCGGGGAAGGGAATTCTGGGCAGGACCAGCCGTGGGAAACAAATTTTCAGCAAGTAGGGTGTCTTTGAAGGACCATAACTTCCTCAAAAGCGGACCTATGGGGAAGAGGAAAGCGTATTCGTGTAGAGGAAGGTTGATCTTCCTAAAAGTACCAAAATGTTCATGAAGGTCGCAAAATCACAGAGAAATTGCCTTGGGGATTCGGACAGGGATTATTTCAGAACTAGTGAATCAATATATTTTTTTGTAACTTAACATTCACAAATCTGAGAACGGATTCGAAAGGTTGAAGACTTGCTCTTTCTAAAAACCTATTGAACTGTTTCTGAAGTCCTCGGGATTCATGAGATCTGGCGATGGGGATTTCTCGCGCAGTACTACGAGCTCGCGAAAAACCCGTTTCCTGTGTACCGCTTCAAGTGAGCGTTCAATAACCAGGACGCTGTAGAACGTATCCTTGGTGGAGCAGGACAGAGTTCGTTAGCGCCGACCACGCTGACTTTGATGCGCGACCACTAGGTCCGCAGAAGTGATGGATGTGCAACTTGGCGTAATGTCTAGTCCACGCGAGCAAACTGTGCTCTGGTAGATTCAGGGAGTCCAGGGCCGAACCTGTGCACTTGTTTACAGTGTTTTCCGTTGCGTATGATGGAGCGTGTCCCTGTCGACGCCGCCAGATTCGTGCTCCGCCAATTGCTGATTCCGATGAGGGAGACCAACTGCTGGAAAACGTCTGATACGAACGATATGGTAGTCGTTTGTCGAAAAAAAAACAGGTTGGCTCAGCGCCAAGCGCGATCGCGGACACGCCCCATCATCCGCAGCGAACCAGAGTATGAGTTGTAGTGTTTAATCACTTACGAGATGATGTCGACTTTTTATTTCCAGTTATTTCAGATTAGTTTGATGATTGAAAGTTTTGTACTATTTTTTTTTACATATCCGAGTTCTCTACAAAGGAAGCTTCGCTGTACAGGACTCAGCACACTGACACCTTTGCGCTGCTCGTTACTGGCTACGCGCACTCATTACGACCCCCCCCTCTCCTGGCGGCCAAATACGACCCCCCTATGGGGAATCCCCAACCAACGCTGTGCCCTGTGCCTCATTCGCGGTCCTGGGTCAAATTTCAGATCTCATATCCTCCACGGCCTGGTAGTTTGGCTAGCTTGCTCGGAAAGATGTAAATAACTCGAATGCACGCAGCCTTCATATTATTTATAACTCATCAGTGCGCTAAAAGCAAGCAACCACAACATGCGAGTTCATCTACTTCGTGATGGTACTCTTTAGATTTCAAACAAAATAGAATCCTAAGAAGTCTTTGCTCGATCATTCTGATCGACGCGGAAACTAAAAATATACGGTACTCTCCATGTGAGTTCTTTTATTTACAGTATATTTGCTTAAACTGAATTCAATTTCTCAGGTGTTTTGAAACTTATGGAGCTAATAATTGATTCGCACCCTAGCACTTAACATCGTAAGGTTGCCAAACAGTTTTCACATTGTGTAGCATGAAACAGTCCACTGGCGTTTTTGCATGATTTTTCAAAATTTTTATGCAGTCCTAGTACCAGCTTAAGCTACAGAGTGAAGGAGTTGAAAAGAACAGCGAGTTGTCTACGGCAAACAATTTTTCTCGCGCGGGACTATAATGGGACAAGACGGCGACACTATACAACATGCAGAGGTTTCAAAGGATTAGGAAACCAGTAGCTTCAGCTTAAAAACTACGTTATTAGTACCGCAAGCGTATACAACTCTACTCGAAGAATTCTCTCCGCGTCATCAATACACACGCTCACAGCATGCAATAGTTGTTCCCAAGCCCGTACGACCTCATAAGCCAATTTATGTGTCTAGGACCGAATTTTCAACCAGAACACATACGTAAGGTCCAAATCGTCATCTACACTTAAGTCCTTTTTCCATCACAAAAACCCATGACTTTCTCAATACTATATTTTACGTCTGTCAATTGCCCACGACGCCTTTCACACCGAAACCATACAATCAACATCTTATCACTACACATAAATGCGAGTCACCCACGTATTACGTAATTTCTATATCCTTGACACATGTCCAACTATCAACTTCCTTTCAAAGAGACATTATCCATATATTCTCCTATTCACATATAATCAGTCTGGCTTGCCTTTTGTAAGGTTCAGTATACATATGAGGATGACATTAGCATATCGTTGTTACTTAGCCACACCAGGAACTTTTCGCGAAGGTTTATATCAGCTTGAAGCGAAATAATACATTGATATTTTACTCTCGCTCGCAAATAAGCTTACATATTATCGATACTCTCTACACAAAATTCTCTTACTCCGCCGCTACCAATAGCTTTCCACCCCCCGGCCGCATTCACTGCTTTGGTTTTCGTGATATATAGATACGATCATGTGTCCGTAGTCTCTCACCAGATACTTTCTCAATTTTTTTCATGATCCCATCTTACATTCCATACTGAGCAACAAAACACAAACATCTCGACGCCATACGTATCTTAGCCTTAGGAATATACCTTCCCTGACTGAAGCAATCACAAAATATGGAACTTGTAGAATTGCCTGCAGTACCGGAGGTATTCAGTATTTCCTCCTGCATATCGTGAATAAGCTCAAACTTCTGATGATATGCTTATATAACACTTCCTTAGGTGGTCTTGTAGAAAACTGCTGCGTATATACTCGGAATCCCTGAGATCGGGTAGGCGTGGCCGCATGTTTCAACTTAACCTGAAGGTGTCTATGCTTCTGGTGAGATATTTTCATCTTGACACAATTGTTGTCGTGTCTCTGTCCAACACAGAACAAGATGACAGTTGTCCCAGACTGGAATATTCCACGAGTAACCAGTTCCGTGCCATGTTCAAATGCCACGCCTACTCTGGCTTAGGGATAAGCGTGTATATATTCAGCATTGAAACCTACAAAAAGTTTTGTCCAAATGAATAAACTTCATCTCCCCTATCTAATAAGCGTCTATCAACTTCTCCAATCCCAGAGGAATGCGCACTCGAAATAGGTCAGTTTGAAATGTCCTTTAATGTGTCGGGAGTATGGTCGCAGGTCCCGCAACTAACAACGGCCAAGTACTGTAGTTTTTCACAAAATTCCGGTCCTAGCATAGTGGCTTATACGACCCTCCCCTCTGGAAGGCTACTTGATACGATGACCCCGACGACCCCCTCCCCGTAGTCTTCTCCTCATCGAGCTGTCGAGCGGGAGAGGGGGATGGGTATATAGCGCACATGATACGGAGATAGCGACACATGATACGGGAGCAGAGCGAGGATAATACAAACCCCCCGCTTTCCCACATCCTGCCATTTTCTTAGATTTTCCTATTCCCTGAAAGTTTCCCTACGTTTTCTCAAAAGTTTTTTGGCTGTTCGCGAGGTATGGGACGATAATACCCTGATGCAGTGTTTTGGAAATTAAATATGTCGTGTCGTGAACGCACACAGTCGGGCATATCTTGAGCCGGTTTTTGCTAATCAAGTTTGAAGTACTTTTACTAGCCTGTGTTACATGTCTTTTGCACGACTGGTTTGATGTACGCTTCGTCAATATCCACGACACTTGTACGCACTCCTGCTGCGCACGTCTGGGCCGGAAGAAGAAGGGCGGGCAAGCCACCGAGTAGCGCCCTGCACCGGAGTACAGCATTATGATACGTGAGATGGTGGTTTCAGTACGACCTCCCACAAAGGAGGGTCTCGGTACGACTCCTCCTCCCCCTCCCTTCCCCAACTTCTACAATCCTCATCATTACGGACTGTCGGGGCGTGTCAGTGCGGCTGCGTTTGGCGCGGTACCGAAGTCGTTCTGCACCAATTGTTGAAGCGGGCAAGTGACATTACTGTATTATATCCTTCGTACTACTCTTTTTCGACCGCGTTACGCGTTGCAACAAAAAGGCTGCTGAGAACGGCTTCAACAGGTATGCGCACTCCTACTGGCTGACTCGCCCCGACAGTCCGTAATGATGAGGGACAGTACCTACGACATTACTACAAGTTCCCAGCTTCGTCCCAGTTTTTCCGAAATTTCCCATATTGTCCAGTTTCCTACCCGAAAATTTCTCTCCGAGCGGGAGGGGGGCGGGGGGGTATATAGCAATCTAACACACGTGAAGGAAAAATCGCGAACATCACGACGGGAAAAAACTTTTTTTCCAGCGCTTGCAAATTTCATTCTAAAAGGCTACATACCACCCTCTACAATCAACGATTCAATATACGACCAATCCTCTGTCCGAGCGGCCAAGTACGACTCCTCGCCCCCCAATGTGTTTCACAGCAACCGACTGACCCTGTGCCACTGGGTACCCTACGTGCCAGCGCCGTGGATAGCCTACTTAACGCCAGCACCGCGATTCAGTCCCAGGTACGACATGCTGTGTGCGTTCACGGCCGAGCACCTCTAATCACACGCACGAATTTCGGGGATACTGTGTACCCCTTCACGTTAGGAAACCTTGTTGAGAATCGGTATCAGTACTCAGGAACGCTTCCTTCTGCTTTTGAAGTGCCATAGTTTAGGACAGACATATTTGACAATTTCGTGAAGTGCTTCAAATGAAGTCTGCAATTAGTGCCTCAAGTTGCTTATCGTGTGCGAAGCTTTTAGGCGAGGACCACTCATTCCCAGCGGAGTGGGGTAATGAATGCCGTTGTTAGGCCCCGGTTACCACCAAACGGAAGTTTATAGCGGGTGGGTGAGAAGGACCTTGGCGCCAGGTGGCACCGGCGTCAAACAGATGTCTTATTCGTAGTCAGTGTTTTGAACAGCACCTATCAGGAAAGCTGCTACAGAAAAAAAAATCGAGTTTTTAGAGTCGGCAAAGTTGAATAGTAAAGGAGTGTGGGATGTGGTCAGTAGTGTGTTGGCGAGAGAGAGCGCTGTAAAATGAACTATCCGAGACTTTTAGTGAACACCGTAAGAATTGGTGGATAGCGCCCCGCTCCAGCTTGGTCAGTAGGGAAAGATTTGTCCCTTGTTCCCCATTTACTGCGTTAACACATCTCCCATCTAGTACTGATGCATTAAGGCTGACAATATTCAGGCAACAACAGTCTTGCGGCAACTTCGTCTCGAAGACGAATCTGAAACTAGGAGGGATCAACTATGAAGTTGTACCAGAGTCTTTTGCGTAAGTTCTGAATGGTTTCAGGCTTAGTTCGCGAGGGGGGGGGGCATTTTGCACTTTTGCTACTTCCCATCTGCGAGTCGAGCCATCTGGAAAGCTATTTCATGAGCTTACAAGAGTTGACAGGTTCTACCATGGTGGCTCGACGAGCTTGCTCCAGCTTCACAGGAATTCAGATATTTCACTGAGTAATGCATGGAAACCGGAATTAATGGAGCAGCGAAAGAGCAAAATGCCCTCTCCCCTGTCGCCGACCTCCCCGGTTTTTGTTCGCTGTGCTTGTGTTTTCTATTAGGTTGTCCGGAAAGTTCTCAGCGTTTTGAGTGTTTACTTTAAACGATCATAACTTTCTTAACACTCATCGGATTTAATCGAAATAAGCACCATTCGAATCAGCACACTTTTGCCAATGTGACAGCAGTCGAGAAATCCCATCAAAGAAAAAACTGGGTGGTCGAGAATCCACGAAATCTACGAAGGCTTTTTTGCCTGGTCCTGATTGATGAAGTATTTTCCAGCAAGGAAGTTCTGAAAATGTTTGAAAAGGTGATAGTCGGTTGGTGAAAGGTCTGGAGAATATGGTGGGTGAGGTAGAACTTCAACCCAATTCGTTCAATTTATGGATAGTTGTGAAACGTGTGGGCGGGCGTTGTCATGCAAAAGAATCGGACCCTTTCTTTTGATAAGTGTTGGCTGCAGCTGACAAAATTTTCGGTACATTTCGTCGATTCCTTCACAGTAGGGTTCTGCTGTGATGGTTTGGCCTGGTGATAAAAAGTTATAGTGGATCACACCAGCCGATGACCACCAAGCCGTGACCAGAATCTTTTTTTCGTGAGGGTTCGGCTTTGAAAATTACCTCGGTGGTTCGTCGAAATCCAACCACTGTCCGGAACGTCTCCTGTTATCATACATGACCCATTTTTCATCACAGGTGACAATTCGGTTCAAAAACGGGTCGTTTCTGTTGCGCAAAAGCAGTGAAGAGGAAACCGCGAGACGTGCCAATTTCTGCCGGTCACTCAAATTGGGGCACCCACTTATCGAGTTTTTTCACCTTCCCAATGCGTTTCAGACCATCTGCAACACTGGATTTGCCAACGCCTAGCTTTTCTGCAATCTCTCGAACTGTTTGGGATGGGTCAGCCTCAAAATCAAAATCCTCGTCAGATATTGCTTTAGGTCGACCGCTATGAGGTTCATCTTCAAGGCTGAAATCTCCAGAACGAAATTTGTTGAACCATTGCCGCACAGTGCTTCTCTAGCACTATTGGGCCCCCACACCTGGTTAATTTGTTGAGCTGTTTCGATTGCGGATTGCCCCAATTTATAGTCGAAGAAAAAATCGTCCGAAGTGCTCTTTTCACATGCTTGAAAAAATCTTGAAAAAAGGGGGTTCATCAAGCAATGGTGAAACGGCAGTTATACCATCAGATAGCGCAAAGAATTCTCTTCAGGATGTACTACTGAGACGCAAGGGAGAGTGAGTTTTTAATCAGCAATGAATGTTCAAAAAATAGTAACACAAAACGTGCAGAACTTTCCGGACAACCTAATATAATCTGTTTACAAAACGATGTACAGTTCAACATTTTACTTGCAGTAGAAACCTGTGGATTGCCAAAGGTACGACGCTCATAGTTGGTTACGACGTTGCTCATCCTGGAAGGCCGACAACTGGCGAAACAAAGAACAGGATGCCACCAAGCAAACCCAGCGTTGTTGGAGTGAGTTTTTGTTTTTCGTAAAACACACTCGATTACTAAATCACTTCGGTAAGGAAAAACGTTGGCACGTCCACCTTTTACTGCCCCATCCATGCAGAATTGAGCCAGTTTTTGACCGACATTTTTTTCTCCATGGACAGATTCGGAAAATAATGTGTTGTTTGACCTCCTGAATACGAATATCACATTTGCATAGCCCGAAGTTCCCTCACGCTCGCGCCACAGGCGCCGGTGATGTGGGGAGTTTTGGCGCCAGTGATTGTAACTCGGGCGCCAAGCGCTTTTGCGCCGAGCGGATGTGACATCCGTGTTCAGGAGGTCAAACTACCCTGGGAACAATGTTTTAGCCAATTCTGCCAATGCAGGAAAAAGTCGGTCCAAAAACTAGCTATCTTTGAAAAATTGGAACAGTGAAGGTAAATAGTGATAAAGGTTATACTCTAGTTCGCTGCGGATGAAGGGGCGTGTCAGAGTTTCAGTGTGCATCGGCGCCGCACCCGTTTTTCTACCGGTTGTTTTAGCGGGTATGCGACAACGTTCAGTAGAAAACGAGTGATACGAACGATATGATACGTCCTGTCACTCGCTTCAAATATTGGTTAAGAATGGTTTTGGCACCGAGCCAAACTAATCGCCTGATACCCCACCCCTACGTTCGTAGCGAAGTAGACTGCCGAATCATACAGAAGCCTAACCTCCAGAACTCGCAGGTCTGGATTGGTAGAGGCCTCTTCCCCCATACGTAATTCGAAAAATAAAGTGGGGTCTGCCAGAAAGGTCTATAGTTGGAACAATTTTCAGTTTTCATTCAATGGTGCAGAACATCGTGAGAAATTCATTGGCGACTACCACTACCAGACACCACGTCGTGAGAAAGTGGGTTTTGAACTGTTTCGAGGATTTCGCTAGCTCTATTAATGATATGCTCTCAATAGGTGGAACCCAATGTACTGAATGCTCGCTTCAAATGGATGCTTGAATTGTTCACGAAAAATCGCGGTGTATGGCCGGAAAATGTCGTCATCACACGAGATGGTGTGTCGGAAGGCCAGTATAAAATGGTATGAAGTAATTATTCAAGATAAATAAACATTCACTTATAAAGCCAGTGAGTTTAACTTATAAGCAGTGTAACCTTTGGAGTGGTGACATTAGCCTTTCTGAAGGTAGCAGATACATCCTATTGGGTTAAATCGATGCGTCCAAACTTTGAGTCCCAGAATTCGTTATCATTTTTGAAATGGTTTCTATATTTACGAAAAATCCTTCACAGGTGATTGATGAAGAGCTGTTCGCGATCAAGCAGGCATGCGAAGAGTTTGGAAATCTCCACGGTCGCGAATCATGGATGCCACGATTCACCGTGATTGTGGCTACCAAACGACATAATGCCCGTTTCTTCGTGGAAAAACAGGGTAGGTTGGCCAAGAGATGGTTTCGGACATGAGTCTAAAAAAGGAATCATTTCAACTTCCCATGGAACTTTGAATGGAGACCTAGGTACATCGATAGAGTCTCGAATGCTGATTACGAATATGCAGATTAAAAGTGCTACGGGGACCTCCTCCCAGGCGACTTTTGGGCAAACATATTCTGCGAAAACCCAGTTTTGGCTCGTAAAAGCTGCTGACGGTCCGAGCAGTGCCACCGTGGCCTAACGGTCTCCTTCAAGGCCAGAAGCTCATGGGTTTGCATCCCGTTGGCTCAAAAATGTTTGCTTCGTCTCTTACAGAGCCTTTGCTCTGACAAGGGAGGTGTTTCACGGTCATCGCGCGCTTTTTGGAAATGGTTTGTTGCTTGTTGTAGGGGTCCATACAAGGGTCACAAAAATGGGTTTCATTTTTGCTATGCGTTTCTGGGTAGGTCAAAAACTGAGTGAAAAAATTTGACATTTAACAACCTGTAATGGGCTTCTTTCTGCTTGTAAACTTCGAGCTCATAGTTTTATGAGGTGGTCACTAATGGTTAGGCCTCAAAAATAGGATTCGGTATAAAATGTAAGTATCATGTGGTAACACACTTGGCATGCCCCGACGCAAGAGTGATGTTTTTGTCAGCGCTCCCTTCATGACCATGGCTGGCCTATAGGGTGGCGTACCGATAGCACGATGGATTCTGAATGGCACGACAATGCGTACTCGGTTCGGATCCTCATTGCGGCAGCAGTTTTGCATCTGTATCAACGCAACGAGACGTGAACATTTCCGGAAACAAGGTTCTCCACACAACTGTGCTGGTTTGTAAGGTGTCATCCAGGAAAGGCCACCAGGACAACCTGGCCATTTGCAGTGAGTGCATATCATTGTACTCGTCTTAACACAGTGAACTCGAAACTACCTTCAAAATTTGCGGAACGATTCTCTGAGCGGAGTTATGAGGTTTCCTTCACTGTTTTTCTTCTTGCGGGTGGGCTGGCGCGCAGTGAATTTGCACCGTAGCGCGACTCACAGCTCTCTCCCTGCGAAACAGATTATCATATTCGTGTTCAGGGTGTCAAACAACCCCTAGAAATGCCACCTTGAGGAAATCCGAGGTTCTGACTCAACTTCGAAAAAATGGGGTAGAGATGGTCACGCCATGATAGCCAATACTCCGACTAGCATACTGGTGATGACTGGTCTTTGCACTGAAATAGCCCCTCATTCATTTTTTTCGCAAAGAACATACCTGGCCTTATTGTTCGTGCGCTGCATCCATTTTCCTGATTACAGCGTAGAAAATTCCATCCTGTCGTGGGTCCGGAGGCCAGCTCGCCCTTCAAACCCCTCAAAACACGACGCATCGAGATGGTTCAGAGCCCCCGTGAGTCCCGAATCCAGGAACTCACGTCATCCTAAGGGTCCTCCTCGGGGACCGCACTGGTCTCTCCCCAGTGCAGCCTCCGCTCCCCGAGGGTCTACAGGGTTCCTATCCCAGGGGGTTGTGGGGGAACTTGCGGTAGCACTGTCCCCACGGCTGGTCTACCCCTGGCCCGGCCACAAGGGACAGACCGAGGCGATTCCTGGGCCGCGGGACGCCACAACCAGTAGCGACAACAGCTAACACACATGGCCTTACGTAATGCATACACAAAGATCCTACAGCGCCTTTAGTCGGGCCCATTCCTGCGCTCCCCGCCGTGCTTGCCTTCAATAATAAACAACAAACACATATTATAAATACTCAACATTATATTGTCGCCGGGAACCATGAACATCTGGCCCACTTCTCCCTACTCTATTCCTGCCGTTGTGGAGACCACCCATGCGCGACCCCATAGTTGACATAGTTCGCGGTAAGAGCGGCAAGGTTACTCTGCCGGCCTGCGCGAGTGATAGTCCTCGTGGCGACAGGTGCCACTCGGACCTGCACTCCACGTGAGCCTGACATTGACCTTCTCTACAGGCAGGAAAGGAGTACTTTCCTTCCCGCAGGGAAGGGATGCCAAGAGAGCAACGCTGCGCGGAGTCTCTCGCCGGCCGCTTTATATAGCAGCACGCAGCGGGACATCACGTGGCCCGCGCCTATTGGTTGACGCGGAGCAGCGCATAGTTTGGCCGTAGGGCGCGACAGAGCTCAGGCGCTTCGGCGAGCCAGGGCACAGTGCGCGTTCCGCGACACATCCAAAGACCAGTCATCCATGGGGTGGACCCGCCTGCGCGAAATGTCACATGAATTGCGCCCCACATTTCCCAAGGTCGCAAACTTCAGATTGGCTAGAAATTGAGTCCCAGGGGTAATCCAACCCCCCTGACATAAATGTGAACCCCAGTAACCCCTGACATGAGCTACGAGAGGCCAGCACAGCACGCTCATTCACCCAGGCACAGACCCAAATGCAAATACAGACTACCCACGCAATAACATACAATCACGAATGAATGGAAAGCTGAAAAATGCAAATCATTTTCCGCGAGGAGGATGCGATCCACAAAGTCCCCCCTTGCCGTGCCATCCAGAACCCGTCGTGTTATCCACTGCGCCATCCGATCCGTTGGCAGTGGTCGTGAAGGGTTCGCTGACAAAAACATCACTCTTGCGTCGATGCATGCCAAGTGTGTTACCACATGATACTTACATTTTGACTTTAATCGAATCTATTTTGAGGCCTAATTAGTGACCACCTCATAAACTATGCATGCTCGAAGTTACAAGCATTGTTAAAACCGCCCATTCTTGTCAAATTCTTTTTTTCACTCAGTTTTTGACCTACCCAGAAACGCATAGCAAAAATGAAACCCATTTTTGTGACCCTTGTATGGACCCCTACAACAAGCAACAAACCATTTCCAAAAAGCGCGCCATGACCTGAAACACCTCCCTTGTAGTTCCGAATCTTCCTAGTTCAGGTCCAGCAGAGCAAGCAGATCAAGTAGATCAAGATACAACGTACTCGATCGAGTATGGGATCGCTATTCTGCCCTCTCTGAACTCATTACCCATCCGACAATTCGAAGTTTCGGCCAGAAACTCGTTCCTGGGGGTATTTTGACCCCCTGAACACGAATATCACATCCGTTTGACGAGAAAGCGCTTGCTTCCATGTTGTTGTGGTCACCAACTGAATGAGGGAATCGACCGTTTCGCGTCAAATTCGTGCCCAGGGGGTCAAAATAACCCAGGAACGAGTTTCTGGCCAAATTGTATCTGGCCGAAACTTCGAATCGTCGGATGTAGTCTTTTCACAAAGGCAGATAGTAGTCGATCCTTACTTAATCGACCACCTCATATACTTGATCTGCTTGCTCTGGTGGACCGTAAACTTGGAAGCTTTGGAAGCTTTGAAAATTAGAGTAAAAGCTGGTACAGGAGACGAAGCATTTTCGCGTCAGTGGTATGCAAACCTACTAGCTTTTGGCTTTGAAGCGAGACCTTTAGCAGTAGGCCATGGTGGCACTTCCCCCACAATTGAGCAGCAGCGCTTACGAGTCAAAACTGAGCTTTCGCAAACTTCGACCGCGCAGAACTCGACTGGGAACTCCCCGTAGCACTTCAATCTGCATATTCGTAATCAGCATTCGAGGCTCTATCGATGTACCTAGGTCTCCATTCAAAGTTCCATGGGAAGTTCAAATCATTCCCTTGTAAGATACTGTAGGCCAAAGCAGTTTCGGGTGTAGTCTGGGGCTCCACGTGGGTTCACCTTAGTAACGGACAAGGGAAAGCGTAATTTACTCCGCGGTCGCGTGCGGCGCGCCATCTGGCGATGAGCGCGAGAGCTTCTCAGTGTGGGCGTCACGCGGCGACGTGCGCAGGAAATTCAAACTATGCGTTCTTGCACTGGAGCAGCAGAACAAATCGTTCCATATTTCCTTCACTAACTCTAATTTTCAACCAGGTAGTTCAAAAACAAGCCTACGAATGTCCTAGTTGAACAGCAGAATGTGCTGGAAATATAACAGCATCAAAACCTCAGTCAGGATCGTTCACTGCTGACGCGCTGTAGTAACGCAATTTTCTTCCCTTTCGAATTCAAACTGGAATGGGTGGGCGGGAGCTCGTCTCTGGCAGCGCCGCGTTGTCCTCTACGCGAGCGACAATGCAAGTTACGATTCTCATGTCACATACATAACCGGGCTCACATCCGCCATTTTCCGCCTCGCCGCGCGATT